CCCTCCTCGCCGCAGCCGTCATGGGCTACCCGTCCCAGCGCTCGGCCACTGATCTGGACGCCACCCCCAGGACCACGATCACCTTTGAGGGTAAGAACGCGCCCGGGGCGGCCTCTCCTTGTCCCTGTGAGGCCTGGCGTCGGGGACGTGGTGGCATCTCCATCCTTGAAGGTTTCCAACATCTCACTGGCTCTGTGCTGCCCCAGCTTCGAGCAGGACATGAGACCTCCCAAGGTGCCTCCTGCTTGCAGGGGAAACCCTCAGCTTCTGCCCTGGGGCAGAGTTGCTCCACCAGGGACGGTAGGTGCTGGCAATCTCCGAGTTTTCCTGGCCAAGCCTCCGATTGCTGCTGCGGTTGGGGTGCGTGGGGCCAGGTGACGGGCTTGGCGGGGTGGCATGGGTCTGGCAGTGGCAAGTGAAACATGGGGTCTTCCTGCAAGGTCTTTGGTGCATCCTGGCTGTGTTTAGCCTTCGCCAGCCACAGTGTTGCCTGCAGGACGGGGTGAGGGACTGAGCACGGTGGAGAGGCTACGGGGCGGCCTCCAGCCCCTCAAGCTGCAGCCGCTGGAGCCCGTCAGGCTGCCCCGTGTCGAGGGCCTGGAGTCGATGTGCCCCGAGCCCCGCGGGTGGGGAATGGCCCTGCCGCCCTGCGGTGTCTCTCCCACAGCGAGGACGAGCAAGGCCCGAGGACAAGGGCTTGCACGGGGAGCGCCTGGGCTCCCCCCAGCACATCTCCACCAGCTGGCTAAGGACTTCCTGAGCTGGGCGTTGCACTTGGGCATCCATCAGGGCCTTGGGAGTCCTCAGTGAGGTTTCTCCCAGGATCTCTGGCTGGGTTGTTGATCTCCAGCATCTCCTGCAGCAGCAAGTCCCGTGGCGTGGCTGTGGCCCAGGTGGCCAAGCGGCTCCTCCAGCCGTGCTGAGGCCAGCAGCCCCGTTTCCCCACGCGCTGCCTCAGCAGAGCCGGGGGTCCAGGCCCTCGGTGCCCCTCCGTGCTGCCCCGTTGCAGAGAGGAGGTCTGCCCGGAGGCTCGTGTGCTCCAACGGGGAGATTTGGAGTGACTTTGGCTCAGAGAGAAGGTGCAAGTGTGATGGCAGCCCTGGGCAGCCCCTGTGGCTGGATGTGGGTGAAGGCAGAGGGAGAGGTTTGGTTGCTGATGAGTTTTGCTGTTGATCCCGAGGGAAGGGAGCATGATGGGGTGGAGGACCCTGTGTCTGCAGGGGACACAGTACGTGTGGGTGCCGCTCGGGCAGAGCTTTCAGGTCCTCTGCGACGAGCCACCCCGTCTCACGGCAGTTTTGGTTCAGGTTTTTGCATCCTTCCTGTTGGGCTCGTTGGGACCTCGCTCTGCCCACAGGGTCCCTGCAGGTGCCTTTTGCTTCCTCCAGCAGTTTGCTGAGCCGCGTGGCAGCTCCTTGCTGGACGTGGATGCTCGCGGCTCCCAAGTCTGCACTGTGGCTTTAATTAACCGGGTGAATTTCCCACCATGAGCCCCAGAGCAGCTAGTGCCTTTCACCTGCTCCCAAACCTTTCTTTGCTCCTGGCACGGTTGCCGGCACCCAGCACCGCCTGCCCGATAACGCCTGGCACGCACCTCCCAGTGCCCTGCGAGCAGGTCTTGGTCTTCCTGGTTCAGGTGGGGACCTGGAGTGAGAGCTCCTGGACCCCAATGGAAGAGGTCTTATTTCTGGTGGGAACAAGGGGAAGTCCAGACTTTGGGTATTTTACAGGTTCAGTTTTGCTGCGCTGCTGTTTCCCTTTTGCGCAGACCTCAGAGCGTGAAGTGTTTGCTAACCCTCAGCCAGGGCTCTTGGTAGAGGTTTGGGGAGGAGAACAGACGTGTTTGGAGAGAAAACAGGAAGGAAATGGGGTCTGCTGCTGGAGGCTTTGCAGAGAAAACCGCTTTGAACCTTTCCCCCCAGAAGAGCTCTCCGTTCCTGGGCCCACGGCGCCGTCGCGGGGCTGGCGAAGGCAGAGAGGGGCAGCGCGGCTCAGGGGCGGGAG